TGCAGCAGCTTGTGCAGTGGTGTGGATCAGGATTTGATGGGCTTATCATATTTGATGAGGTACACTTTCTTTTCTGAACTGTTATGAAATCTCCCTTGTTGCTTCATTAGTTTCTTTTAAAAAAATTCTTGGGTAAACTATGCGTTTAGTACCTAAGCTATCAATTTTGGTCCGTTTTAGAACCTAACTTTCAATTTTTTCAAAACCATACCTAACGTTTAGTTTTTTTTTCTTTTTAGTACCCTGCCGTTAAAAACTTAACGCGTTTAGTACCTAAACTATCAGTTTTGGTCCACTTTAGTACCTAAACTTTCAATTTTTTTTTAAACTTAACGTTAAGTTTTTAATGGGGGTACTAAAATGAAACAAAAACAAAATGTTAGGTATGGTTTTGAAAAATTTGAAAGTTTAGCTACTAAAACGGATCAAAACTGATAGTTTAGGTACTAAACGCGTAGTTTACCCAAAATTCTTTTGTCAATTGCATCATGAGATAGTGTTCTGTGGTTTCAATATATTTCTCTATTTTTATTGCTAAGGGTCAATGGCTTCATTGTAGTGCCACAAAGCCAAAAACTTGGTGCCTGAAGCTGGCAGCCAGCCAACTCGCACAGGTGAAGCAGTTCTAGAAATTCAGGTTAGTGCTTTTTTCCTTCTTCTTTTGGGGTGGTTGGGAGAGGGGTGTTTTCTACCTTTTTTTTTGTTGTAGATTATATATTTTTATCATGGTTCTTTCACATGTTAGTAAAATATGCACTAGAGGAACATCCTCCTGTAGTCTCTCCCCTTCTCTTTCTTCTTCCACCCACTTATGGAAAAAGTGTTCATGTACACTCATGCAGGACCATATGCATATGCATGAGCTTCTAACAATGGAAAATTGTCTTCCTGGAAATTCCTTAACTGTTGCTTTCCATTTGCTGAAACTACAGGCTCGACTTCCTGAAGCACGGGTTATTTATTGCTCTGCAACTGGTGCATCTGAACCACGCAATATGGGGTATATGATCAGGCTTGGTCTTTGGGGAGCTGGAACATGTTTCCCTGATTTCCAGAATTTTTTAGGTTTAATCTTTATACCTTCCGGTGACAATTTTTTCCCTCTTTCATTTTTTTACCTTTTCATCTTGCATTTATATATGTCGTACAACCAAGAAAATTAATATAATTAAGGTTGTGGCATGTCAGAAAGAATATTATTGAGGGTGATGGTGAGGAATAAAGTAAAATGATGACTAGGGAAGGTGATTTATCCTTTATTCTAAGCCTTATTTCCTTAGTCATTGTAAATCTCTAGTTATCTCCAAACCTGGGTTGGTGATTTTTCACATCATATCTGCCTGCCTTTAGATGTCTCCCACTGGTTAGAATTTTCTCTGAACTTTTTTTTGTAAAATGAATATTTTCACAGTTGCTTTAGAGAAAGGAGGCGTTGGGGCATTGGAACTTGTTGCAATGGAAATGAAAGCAAGGTAAAAATAGTTGGAATATCTCTGTAAAATAGTTGCTAGATATATTCTTGTTTCATACGCAATCTTCTTTCAAATTTCAGGGGAATGTATGTATGTCGCACCCTGAGTTATAAGGGAGCCGAGTTTGAGGTTATTGAAGCACCATTAGAAGCTGAAATGGAGGTATGCAAGTGTTTTTTCTATTTGCTTCCTAATGAAATTATTTTTTATTATACCACCTCTTTCCAAATTAGTATGCCATAGATGGTTAAATTGATATTCATTTAATATGATTATAATTTATATCACGTCGAAATTTTCTGAAAATATCTGTGACAAGTTATATTGTATGTTTAGTCTCTATAATTTGCTCTGATTGGGTTCTGCTTTTGACATGTGTAGCCAAGGACATAAAATAACATATAGATATGAGACTAAAAGAAATGAAACAAGGACCAAAATAGTGAATATTGTACCAGTGGGCATACCGTTTTTATCTAGGACTGGTGGTACATAACGATACCAGTATGTTTCGGGGTACCTTTTCAGATTTGTTTTTATTTTCTAAATATAAACATAAAATGATTCTGTGTATACAATTGAACAAAATTAAAGCTCACGTTTAACATTGCGCATTTGATGAAAGTTTGTGTGTAGTTTTGATATTTATCCCAATTAGTATTAATTAAATCAATAACTTAATTAAATGTAACTGCGCAAAAAATAAAAATAGTTAAGACAAAAATAATTAAAACTTCTTTCCAAATATTAAAATCTTTACCAAGCTATACAGGCTGATGCGCTCCAATATTGACTGAAATAGGCTGAAACACACTGAAATGGTTAAACGTCCCAAAATTTTAACTTGAATGGTACTTGAATTATTTGGTATTAGTTTAAGACTGATATGGTCCGGTACGGTATTGACTTCTACGACAAGTACCCATCAAAGAGACCAGGTATATCCATGATTAAAGAATTCCAACTCGTTTGACACCCATTATGCAAGATGGTCACCTGGGATATTTGGATTCACTCAAGAGAGTGCATAAAGAACAGCTTTTTGATATTTTCCTTTAAGTTAAACTTATGTAGAATATCAAAAACAAAAAAAAAATTCTGGCACCCGTCCAGTCATCATCTTTCTTTAAACCACCTGTCCAGTCATCATCTTTCTTTAAACAGCTTTCTTGCAAATCTATCTCTCCCCTCTTCTTTGAAGATAAAACTTACCCTGGTTCACCCATGATTCTGCTCGAGGATAGAATGATGTGATTGAGTCGTACCACAAATTTTTATTTTTGAAAAAAAGACGTTGAACTTGACTCAACTTGCTTAATGTAGTTTTCAACATCCAATGTCAATTTCTTTCTTTGAAAAGATTCACATAAGGGCCACATCATAAGTATTGATAGTAAAAGACTAACAATGTTTATGAGCAACATCAAAAGTACTGGTTCTAATTTTATATGGTCTAAATATTTTTGCTTACTTGTTTTTTTCTGCTTTGTGAGCTAGTATTGTTGTAATTGGTTGTAGTAAAGCTGCAAATGCCATCAACTATAATCTCATACCTATTTGGTACTAGATTTTTAATCTTTATTTTTCATTTAGCGTCTGACAAGAAGTGGGTGGGAATGGGCAAAAAATTGACGGATGGTCTTAGTTTCTGATCATTTATTTTTTCATAGGCAATGTATAAAAAGGCAGCGGAGCTTTGGGCAGAGCTTCGAGTGGAATTGCTGTCAGCAAGTGCTTTTCATAGTAATGATAAACCTAACCCCAGTCAGTTGTGGAGAATGTATTGGTCAAGCCATCAGGTATAAGAATTTTCTGGGTTTTTGTGTTCATGCCGAGCGTTTTCTCCTTTTATCTATTCTTTTTCAGTTGTGACATGTCATATTTATTCATTTTTTTTCATTCATATGGTTGCAATTGTTCTCCATTTGGTGTTGTAGCGTTTTTTTAGACACCTGTGTATGTCAGCTAAGGTGCCTGCTACGGTGAGGCTTGCTAAGCAAGCACTAATGGAAGATAAGTGTGTGGTTATAGGCCTACAGAGTACTGGGGAGGCACGGACTGAAGAAGCTTTGACAAAATATGTATGTATTCTGCTTGTTTCTAATTAATGATCTATGTTTTTATTTGTTCTTTCTGTTTCTGTGTGCTTTTCTAAATTATTCATCTCCCCCATGAAAATAGGGTCTTGAACTTGATGATTTTGTTTCGGGACCCCGAGAATTGTTGCTGAAATTTGTTGAAGAAAACTATCCCTTACCTGAAAAGCCTGAACCTCTCCAAGGTATGACGTGTCTGTGTTTCTAGACTGGCTTGTTTCACTCTAGTTGCTGATTCAATTATTGATTATTTGCTAATATTCTATTAGGAGATGAAAGTGTAAAGGAACTTCAACAGAAGAGGCACTCTGCAACACCTGGTGTCTCCCTAAATGGAAGAGTTAGGAAAGTTGCAAAATGGAAACCTGCTAGCGATAGTGAAAGCGATGAAGAATCTGATAGTAAGTTTTTCTGTTCCGAAATAAACTGAATGGTATTGGGTCTGCAATTTAGGGACCTTATGTTGTAAATAGCAAACACCTCTACTAGACTGAAGGAGAAAATAGCAAGTGAAGAAAATCTACCGATTTATGTTTAATTTTTTTTTATATATATTTGCTTGCAATTTAGATCTCTCTTCACTTTTTAATTATTACTTCCAATTTCACTTCCAGTTGCTCTCACAGTACCGATCATTTAATGTTCTTTAGAGCACAACTTGAATGCACTTTTTCTTTTGAAATTATAATGTGATTTGTAGTTGTGATTTCTTTACTTGTATGGCTACTACATCGGAAAGTGTTCCTCTACTTGTTGTTCAGTCAAATTTTGTCCAAACTGTATAGTTAAATATTTTACCCCAATATTATGAAAAAACTGTTACTTAGGTGTCTTGATAACTAAGTTTTTACTTCATCATGCAGCTGATTCTGGGCCCGAGTCTACTGAATCCGATGATGAGTTTCATATGTGTGAGATATGCAGTAGTGAAGAGGTAATTTCTTTTTTCTTGATTATGCTTTGAGTATCCGCAATTCTTCACGTGTTGTGCTATCATTAATCCAGGAGAGGAAGAAATTGCTCCAGTGTTCCTGTTGTGGGAAACTTGTGCATCCTGCTTGTTTAGTTCCACCTATTTCAGATTTAGTCCCTGAAAAGTGGTCGTGTTATTCATGCAAGGAGAAAACAGATGAATACATGCAAGCAAGGCGTGCCTATATAGAAGAACTTTTAAAGAGGTTATTGTATTTTGGATGTTGTTTCTTTCTTCTTAAATAGTTTTCTTTTATTCTCCTTTTTATTATCTCAAAGTAGTGTGGGTGAGGGGTATTGTGTTGTTTGCGGTTTCTTTAGAGATGAATTAACAAATTTCCTGTAAACTTTAGCTCAGGTATGAACAAGCATTGCAGCGCAAGTCAAAAATTTTGGATATAATTCGCTCTTTAGATCTTCCAAACAATCCCTTGGATGACATTATTGATCAGGTTGGTCGCATTTCTTGTTCTCTTCTCAAAAGTCTACAATGATGTTTAAGATATGCTGATAATTTGTATTATTTTGGGTGGTCTTTTGAGAATTGTAGTTAACATTGCTCATCGTTTGCTATATGAGATGAAACTTCAAAACCAAGACATAGCCTCCTTTCTTGCAAGATTTATGGTTTTGCTTCCTAAATACTTTTAACATTTTCTGTTAGCTTTATTTTTTACTCGTACTTTCTCTTTGCAAAGAAATGTCCTGTTTTGCTTAACGTGTCAGTTTTATGTTATGGAGTCCTTTGGTGAAACAATTCATGACATGAATCAGTGACATGAGTCGGCCTTTACTCGTGTTATGTATATTGTTGTAACCTTTAGGTGCTCAGAAATTTTCATGATAAGTTCTAGTTCTTGGAGGATGGTTAGTGAATTAGGGACTTTTACTACTGTGCATTCTGTATCAAGCAATGGTGCTAGTTTTTGTATGGTTGGCCTGGACCCCAATAGAGTACAGTGATTACAAGTTTGAGGGAATGTCCTGTTAAAAATGTCCTATCTAGAAATTATTGGGGTTCATGTAGCAGTCATGCAGCTCAGTGGGTAATGCTACACATTAAAGTTGCATACCTGTTTTTCTTTCCCAAGATGGTGAATGAATGCTGTTTATTTGTAGTTATCTCATGACAACCAGTTTTGATCTCTTTGGTTTGCAACTTAAAGTTTGGTGATGCATTAGCAATTATTGTTACCTTCCAAAGAAAATCGACTAAAGGCAGAGGTATATATGGCCAAAAGGTACTAGTGTTGCCAAATTTCTGAAGTTCTATTTGATTTTGGCCCCTTTAATGCAATGTATTTAGGAGCCTTATTGCCAACCTTTTAATTTGTTAGAGATTGATCCCCTTTTTTTTTCTGTTTTCTTCTTTCTATTGGTTCTGGATGATTTTTCAGTTTTGGTTCCAATGCATGCTTAATTTATACTCAATTTGACTTATTTCATTAAGAGCGATTGGTCCACCTATCTTTATCCTTGTTAAAAACAAACTAGGAATTAACCAAATCCATTTGTTCCATCCTTCTCTGGTTAGCTGCTTTTGCATGTTATTATTATTCTGGTTGTCATCAACAGAACTTATTGCATCTACACTTTTTCCCTGAAATTTGTTCTTTTTAACTATGTGTTCAATGAGCTTGCAGCTTGGAGGTCCTGATAAAGTTGCAGAAATGACAGGGAGGCGAGGCATGCTTGTAAGGGCTTCTAGCGGGAAAGGTGTGACTTACCAGGCACGAAACACGTGAGTTTAGTATTTCTTTATTTCTCAACTTTTGTTCACCTTATACTGAAGGTTATCTAAGGTGGCATTTCTCCCATGGATTTTTAGAAAGGAAGTTACAATGGAAATGGTCAATATGCATGAAAAGCAGCTCTTTATGGATTGTAAGAAGTTTGTTGCCATCATATCTGAGGCTGGATCAGCTGGTGTATCGTTGCAGGCAGATAGAAGAGCAGTGAATCAGGTATTTCTTATATAAAAAATTCTCACTTTATTTTTCATACCATACTGCACTTTATTTGTAGATTAGAATGGTCTTTTTTGAGTATGTACAATTTGGTTTGGTCTCCTTGTTCTCTTGCCACTAAGTGACACATTTCTGCAGAAAAGAAGGGTTCATTTAACATTGGAACTTCCTTGGAGTGCTGACCGAGCAATTCAACAGTTTGGAAGAACTCATCGTTCCAATCAAGCTTCTGCACCCGAATACAGGTGGGCTAGGAATTTTTTGCCTTTATCTTTGTTGAATGTGAAAAGTAGTCTATAATAGTATCAACTTGTTTGTTTTGACTTTCACATTATATACTAATTCTTTCATCTCTTAATTTGTATATCCAAATTTACTCAGTATCATCTTTTTCATAATGACTTGTGTGTGCAATCTAGAATCACATCAATAAATTGAGGCATGTGAAATGATATCAAGAAATTGGAATGTAAATATGTAAAAGATGAATGGCCATGGAATCCGGTTTAATTATGCCTCCACTCTCTGTACTCTTCAAACTTTTTCCCTTTGCTTTTAATTCCATGAATTGATCTGTTGGATTATTCTTTGATGACATTCTTTCTTCTCATTCATCGAGCAATGCAGATATTAAATTCTGTCAGCTTGACAAATCAAAAGGCATATATTTTAGTTATTTGTTGTTTTACTAGTTTTGCTTGTTCTAATTTGCTCTGCAGGCTACTTTTTACCAATCTTGGTGGAGAACGGCGTTTTGCATCAATTGTTGCCAAGAGGCTAGAATCTCTTGGAGCCTTGACACAAGGAGATCGCAGGTGAGTTCAATTTTCTTTTCTTTTCTTTTTTGCAAATGTGTTCTTTGAGAAAAATTTCATCAAAATAACTTAAGCCATGGGCATAGATGATCAGTGGTTTGGCTTCCCCCACAGTCCCTGTTAATTGTTAAGGTTCATTATTGGTCGTAAACATTTTATAATTAAAAAATTTTCATACAAGTTTTAAAAATAAGCTACTTAAACGCATTAAAAATATCTAACCATTGAAAGTTTTCATTCAGTGCTTTATCAACATGCAATTTTTTTATTAAAAAAAATGTTATTTCTGCACTATGGTATGAGGTTCATTATATCATTCTATAACCTAAATATCTCTGCTGGCTTCAGCCTTTGGTCTTTAGGATATGAAAGGCAGGTTAACTTTTATAATATTTTGGTCTCCTTGGTTTTTTCTTATGATATGACTGGTGATTTGCAGGGTTGGGCCATCTTTGAGTGCTTACAACTATGATAGTTCTAATGGTAAAAAGGCATTGGTGGTTATGTATAGAGGGATTATGGAGCAGGTCCTTGTAATTTTTTTTTCAGTAATATTACCTTTACAAAGAAAAATAATGAGGGGGAATAACTATAGTTGTGGTTTCCAGGATAATCTGCCTGTTGTACCTCCTGGATGTTCATCAGAAAAACCAGAAACAATTCAAGATTTTATCACGAAGGCAAAGGCTGCTCTTATTTCTGTCGGAATTGTTAGGGATACAGTTCTTGGTAATAATCTTTTTGCATCTAAAATGAGTAAAACATTTGTTAATCATTTATCAAACTTTCTTTTGCCCTCTGGAAAATATACCATCAATCATCGACTTCATATGTGTTATTTATTCATTTTTTACCATTTCTTTGCTATAGGTAACGGGAAGGATAATGGAAAATTCTCTAGCCGAATAGTTGATTCAGACATGCATGATGTTGGTCGTTTCCTAAATCGTCTGTTAGGATTGCCACCTGATATTCAGAATAGGTATCTTGTTGGCTAATACACACTGTTGTTGTTAGGTTGCATTTAGTATGCTGAATACAAGCAAGTGAAATGCAGGCTATTCGAGTTGTTCATAAGTATCTTGGATGTCCTGATTCAGAATGCAAGAATTGAAGGAAATCTTGATTCCGGAATTGTTGACATGAAAGCTAACATCATTGATTTACAAGGAAAACCAGAGGTTAATTTTTTGCCCGATTTAGTGATTTACTTGATGTAATTAAATTTAGCTAACTATTTGTCTTCCAACAGACTGTCCATGTTGATCCGATGTCTGGGGCATCAACGGTGCTGTTCACTTTCACTTTGGATCGTGGAATCACATGGGAGGTACTTTTTTTCTTTCTTGCTCTTGATTCATGACTAGCTTATTTCATTTTGACAAGTATAATGCTCACAGCACTGTGATTGAATTGTGTGGTAGGCTGCAAGTACCATGCTCGATGAGAAGAAGAAGGATGGACTTGGTTCATCCAGTGATGGATTCTATGAATCTAAAAGGGAATGGTTAGGAAGACGTCATTTTGTTCTAGCATTTGAGAGGTATTTGTTTCCTTCTTGCAAGACTCACTCGTGTAGCATATAAGGTTATGATTATTAATAACAAAAGTCATAGGGGTAATTTGCAGATATTTAAAAATAGTATATTCATTCTTCACTAGATGGTTCTTTTAATTGTAGTATGTAAACATTGATTGAACTTCCCCACTTCATTTACTGTTATATTTTCCTTACCTAATTCTGTTTCAGTTCTGCTTCTGGAATGTTAAAGATAGTCCGTCCAGCTGTTGGAGAGTCAGTAAGGTATTATTTCAAGCTAAATCAAAACTTTCTCAAATCAAACTTTGTACTAGAATCTGTGTGCTTAACCATTTGACTTCAACTTTCCAGGGAAATGTCTTTGGCAGAACTGAAAAACAAATACAGAAGAATTTCATTTCTAGAGAAAGCTCGTCGTGGATGGGAAGATGAATATGAAGTTTCATCTAAACAGGTACACTTAAGCATTATCTTAATTACAATAAGAAAAGAAATTAATGCGGTTAAAATATCTGCTATGAACCTAGATTGGATAAGGTGAACAGATCTCCAGCACATAAGGGATACGGCTGGAGGTTTTTTCATTTGGTCTTCTAAAGGTGGAATATACAGTTTCGGCTACAAAGAAAAAGGAATCCACAATGAGGACAAGAATCCTGACAACCATCATTAAAATCAATATTTTAAAACCCAAAGACACAATAAACCAATTTCACCTTTCTCTGCTGAGAGCTACTTGGAAGTTCCTCTTTGCAATTTTTTTCTTTCATGTTTTAACTTTTAAAATTATTCTCTGGCTTGTTTAAAGTTTTATAAGCACTGGAACATGTTATATCCCGTGCATTGCTAACTTCTGAAAACAGATCGAGATAATTTGGGCTCTACTTTGGATAGGGCATTTGACCTCTTATTTTTTACACTACAGGGCTGATTAATTGAACCTCCTTTTCGTGTTAAAAGAAATTAATGATAAGAAATGTGAAAATTTGATTGTATGTTAATGAAAATTATCAATGTTTACATTATATTAAATATTTTGTAAAATAAATACAAAAAGAGAGACGAACGTAGGATTTTATGCTAACATTATCATATCCTTGCCTGTATTCTTAGTATGCCAATGCTTCCAAGATTCTCTTTTGAAGGGTAGAGCGTTTTGCTTAGAATACCTAATATCATTTTCCTTCTTTCCTTCATGGATATAATATATTAGATCTCCATCTTTATCAACAGACCTGTTCTTTTAGTTATATGAGTAATTTTTTGATACACAGGTTGTGTAAAAAAACAACCCTGCCTATTAAACCCTAAAATCTTTAAATCATAAACCCAAAACCCTAAATAAGACACGTTAAACCCAGTTTTGCTGACATCATGATTTTCACTTGGGTTATTATTTCTTTTTGTGCAGTGCATGCATGGCCCCAATTGTAAGCTTGGCAAATTCTGTACAGTTGGCAGAAGAATCCAGGAAGTAAATGTTTTGGGTGGTCTCATTCTTCCGGTTTGGGGCACGATTGAGAAGGCCCTATCTAAGCAGGTAACTTTATGTGTGGTCTGCTCCTCAGTAATAATTCATTGTCAGTTGTATAATCTGTAGTACCAAAGTGTTTATGAGGAACCTTCTTCTCCAAACCAAGTTCATTTGTAGCATCTGAATTTGTGTCTTTTTTTATGACAATTGACATGATGTAAAAGGTATATTATTCTGACTATCAAATAACATTTGAACGTGAAAATATGTGCTTCACCATCTGTGTTTCTTGGCATTGCATTGCATTGCTGGGATAACATTCTATCATTGCTTGCAAAGATAATTTAGTTGTGTACCTTAATGCTGGTTTCGGGCTGCTATAATGCACAAATCTATTCTTCAAGTCATTGGTAATCAATGATATTTGTCGAGGGCCCAGGGGTTGTTGCTTAATCATTTGAACCTATGGCAATGGGCTTTTGTATTCGGAATATTTTAGTTGTAAATTTCTATGAATGGGAGAGAGTAAGATATGCGGTATTTCTAATCCTTGCTCATACTTTTGCAGGTTGCTCTTCTCTATCTAAATTTAGAATTTTGACCGTCTCCTTTAGTTTTATTACAAGCTTTCACTGTATTTTGTTTAGTGTAGACTGATATCTTTCGAATGTTGTCCTACCATAAGCCTTTTTTCTTGTAATCGTCTGCTCAACAAAGAGTATGAAACTGCTAGATAAATATTTTCCCCCAGCACTGCTCAAATGATGGCCTTCCATCAGGTTGATGTCAATTCAGACTTCTCAAAGTTTATGTACTTTCACCTTTTTTTTCGACCC